CATGAACAAATTTTGTAAGTTTTAATACTCTAATTGTACATGCATCATAGATTTTGAAGAATTTGAACTAATTCAATCTCATATTTTGAGGAGAAAAAGGAAAAGCTTTGAAAATTAGAAATTTGTTTGATTTTGATCTTTAATCCATGCATGTAATTTAATTTAAAAGTTTTATTCAATTTAGACACATTTTGGAACATCTATGATCATAAATCAAGTTTTGGTTACAAATTAAGTTTTATCGGCATCCGATTCAGAAATTGACTTGATTTATGTGTTATTTGGAATTTTTGGAACATTATGGTAGGTTTAATTAAAATTCGATTCGGAACAATTAAAATAGGAAAATTAATGCCCAATTAAGCCTAATTAATTAATTACTCAATTTAAGCCTATATAAGGCACCTTTTATACTTCCACTCATCCTTGTTGATTACATATCAACATATGACGATCCCGCCTCGTATAATATTTTATATTTGATTAATTACGGAGATTTGGATTTTAATTAGTCGTTACCTTGATTTAATTTGGGAATTACGAGAATTGTAGAATCTGATTCGTATATAATTCTATTAAAGATTTATTTTGGAATTAGAAATTAAGGGTCCAAATGGCTTAAGGAAGTGAAATTAAGAAGTTGAATCAATTTAATTTTAATTATGGACCCATTTTGGGAGTTTAATTAAATATTCCATTCAGTTTAGTAAAATTGAGATTCAATTAATTAGGTCCGAATTGGAGGTAAATAAGTTAATTAAATTATGAGGATTGAAAATTGTGATTATTACGAATTAAATTTATTTATAGGGTGTCCAATTTGAATATGTAATTTATTGACGGAAATTTGAAGTCTGATTAGAAATTGAAGGCCCAAATGGTTTGTGAAATCAAAATTGATAATGGGGATATGTTTAATTTAAAATTTGGAACCTTTTTGGAGTGTGATTAAAAATCTGATTCAGACTAATAAAGATTAAATATAATTAATTGGGTCTTTATTAAAGTCAATTAGACTAATTAAATTATGTGGGATTGGTGATTGATTATAATTAATTTAATTATGTAATTATCAAGATTTAATTAGATTAAGTGTTGCTTAATTAAAATCATAAATTGAATTGTGGAATGGTCTAGAGTTGAGGGTGTGTTTGGAAGAGGGTGTGCAGAGAAAGCTCTGTGTGTTTGTATGTGTATAAGTGTGTATATGAAAAGAGAGAGTAGGCAACTCCATTTAACATTTTGTTGGAACCATTCTTAAGAGACTAGAATACAAAACATGTGGTTTCATGTTGTTTTGGTGGTAAAGCTTGAGACGAAGAGAGAGAGTTCAAATCAAGAAAAACAAAGAAGGGAAGTCACCTATTATTCTTGTTGGAAATTGAAAAAAGAGCTTAGAGCAGTTGAGATCAAGTGAAGGAAAAAAGAAAGGCATAAGAAATGCACCCATTGAAGACTTGAGGTAAGAAATTGAAACTTACATCTTGTAGATAAATTACCTAAAAGCTGAAATTAAGAGATAATTGAGTTCAATTTCATGTAATTAAAAAGGGGATTAGCAAGATGATGAAGAAATAAAGTTATGTTCAATTTATGGAAATTAATTTAGAAATCAATTATGTTGAGTTGAATTTTTGTAGTCTTGCATGAGTTTGAGTTCCATTCCTACATGCATGAACAAATTTTGTAAGTTTTAATACTCTAATTGTACATGCATCATAGATTTTGAAGAATTTGAACTAATTCAATCTCATATTTTGAGGAGAAAAAGGAAAAGCTTTGAAAATTAGAAATTTGTTTGATTTTGATCTTTAATCCATGCATGTAATTTAATTTAAAAGTTTTATTCAATTTAGACGCATTTTGGAACATCTATGATCATAAATCAAGTTTTGGTTACAAATTAAGTGAAGTTGAAATTCTAAGAAATTAATTTTTGTAATTCATTAGATAAGTTTGATTTTTGTTATTAATAATGAAATTGAGTTCTATTTTCATACATCATGAAATTTCAAGAGTTTGGAAAGTCTAATTCATATTTTAAAATTGTGGATTTGATATAAAGAAAATGAGTTAAATCTAAATTTGGATAATTGGAGCATGATTTTGAATAAATGATTTCTAATTGGGAGTGTCTACTAAATTACACAATGGTTCTCCATAATTTTGTACCAAAATACAAGTTTTGAGACTTTGAATATCAAATTTGAACTTCAAACACAATTCTAGAAATTCCAGAATTCACATTGTTCGCTCGAGCAAGGAAAGTCTCGCTCGAGCGTGAAAATCAAACTCCCAGAAGTTTTCAAAATTTTATAGTCCATTCGAGCGACCAAAGTGGCGCTCGAGCGAGGACTCTATTTTCAGCAATTTTTTACTAACTCTTTTAAATGCATAATTGCATTCTTATGACATTCTAAGTATTCTTAGGCACCAATTGGACTCACATAGTCAGGGAATGAGCTAGAAACACATACAGAGAGTTGAATTAAAATGAAACGAATATTGAATGGTACTTCTATTGTATCTTTGTTATGTGATTTGTATAGGTGGACGTCTAAGGCCTTATATCGACTTAACCCACTGTGAGTAATAACTTTATAAAGATATGTTCAAATTATCTTTACTTTCAAAAATGTTATTGCTATCAAAATGGATATGTGATTGATTGAATGAATTCTTAAAATGATTTAATAGTTGATAGCATGGCTTATTGAAATGTTATGTCCTCTAATAAATGAAGTTCTGTTTTGAAACGATATTGTGGCATCCATTGAATGTAGGCCCTTGCCTGGGGATAACAATACCATGGCTAGGCCCTTGCCTGGGGCTAATAGTACCATGGCTAGGCCTTTGCCTGGGGGTAATAATACCATGGCTAGGCCCTTGCCTGGGGGTAATAATACCATGGGGGGGTAATAGTACCATGGCTAGGCCCTTGCCTGGGGGTAACAATACCATGACTTTTGGATTGATTGACATATGGTTCGTTATTACTTCATGGATGTACCACATAATTTGACATTGAAAGATCTTGATGATGAAGTTAATGAATTAATGAAAATGCTATCGCATAATGGTTTTTATTATTGCAAGGGATTGATGTGATGGCTAATCGAATTGTTTTGCCTATTGAAATGGATTGTTTCGGAAAATGAAATATATGTTTTGGTAAGGGATTTGGAATGGAAAATGTTTCGTTATAAATTTGATATAATATGGCAAATGCCTCCCTTTGAAAATGATTTAAGAATCGTTTCAAAATTGTAAAACTGGTTTTCGTATTACCATTGAACTTCATTCATTTAACCTCTTTATTTTGTTATTATTCGCTGGGCTTTAACTCACTATTTATATGTATATGTAGGTGAGCAAACTGAGCAACAAAGTTAGAGAAAGTCTCGGAGTCTAACCGTGTCAGCCTATTGAAGAGCTTCCAGAATGGAGTAAGTTAGGCTCGAGTAGAGCCAAGAAAATC